ATTGCACTTTGTTAAAAGTTTGAAGTTTGCTGGTTTTCAAAACGATGCAATGACAAAATATGGGTTTCGCGTTTGTTTGATAGCGACAATTAATTTTGGCGTTTGATTGATGTCTTGCTCGGTCAAGAAACCACTTTGGTCGATTTACTCGACCAAGAATCTTGCTCGGTTAATCGAAAAATTTGATCGATCAATTGCACCACTAGTGACGAAGTGCGCTGCGCCTACAGTGGTTGTAGTACATTGTACTGACTAATGGGTTTCAAGTTCCAAACGCTTCTTATGCCTGACGAGAAGGGATAGTTGACAGCAGTTTCCTGGCTCCTGCTCATGTTCTTCTCCTCGCACCCCCGACACCCGCTTCCAAAGTGGGTGGTTGGCGGATGCTCTGTGGTGGTCTACTCCATCTCTCCTATCAAACATCTTTATCGTCCTTCTTCTCTCCTCTTCCTTATTTTTGTGTGTTGGTTACTCTCTTGTAAAACCTCAGGTCTTCGGCTCTTACGTGACCTAATTGTGTTGCGATTGTCGTAAAACACGTACTAAAACAGCATCGCTGTTTGTCTATCTTTATTACAACCGTGTGGCTGTCTGGTTTCTTGTTCTTGCTCTTGTTCTTGTTCTCCTCCTCATTCCTCCTCCTCCTCATTCCTCCTCATCTTCTTCCTCCTCACCCACTCAGTCATCAGCATTATTTCCACCTGTTTTAGAATGTTTGTCATGTCCATGAATTCCAAGTTATTGGGATTTATACCAGCAGTACATTTTTTGGAGTCTGAATTGTTTCAATGTATATCAACGCGATACTTTAAAATGGTTGCTTTTGTTTTTTTTATTTTGATTGTTTTTTTCCCGTTAGAGGAAGAGAGAATGACTTCACTTCCTTCGGACTTGCGATATCAACCAGTTTAATTCCATCTCAAACACGGTTATTGGCTTCAGTTATCACAAACTGTGTTCGCTTGTTTGAAAGTATAGCAGCTGTCCCCGCAGTTTTATCCCAAACAAATTCTGAAATTATGCAAACTGAGACAAAAAAATGTGAAATTATGCGATTTTGTTAATTTTAACAAAGAATGATAAATGAAAATAATCAGAAATTATGCACAAAATCATCAAATTTTGCTAAATTTTGAGGGGTGCATAAAACCACGGAGACAGATGTAGGTGTCCGTAATGAGTGAGCCAGTGCTCTCTTTGCTGCGGTTTGCTCCTTCATTTATGTCAAACATCTATCGTCCGTCTCTCTCTCTCTCTTTCTCTGTGTGTCTTTCTCTCTCCCCCGTCTCCCCCCCC